TGTAAGGATGGTTAAAATATAGTCACGTAATTCATGGAGCAGGGGCTGAACATATATATTCATTGTTACATGTGATTAGCTTCAGGGAAAGATATAGTTAGAACCAGACTATAAAATTACAGCAGAAAAACTGGATCTGACTGGAGAAATGAATGCCAATTTCCCTTACCATTGGGGGAAGTGGGGCCTCCAGGTACCAATCAGGGAGCAGATGGCCCTGAAGCTGGAAAATCAGGGGAACTCAGATGGCAGGGACCACCATGCATCAAGGAAAAGAATTTCATGTCATTTCTAGAAAACATTATCTCCTGAAGAGACATGCATGGCCATGCAGAAAAGAAAAAGAATTACCTTCAAAAAGAGCAGAAATCAAAGAGCTAGCCACTGTCATTTCCGTTTCTTTGTTCTTCTCTGATGCACTGGCTACTTTTTGGTTCTTGTTGTTTGGGGGTTTTATTTGTTTTTGTCAACTTTACACAAGCTAGGGTCATCAGAGAAGAGGCAAGGACAATCAAGAAAATAGCTCCATTAGATTGGCCTGTAGGTAAGTCTGTGGAACATTTTCTGGATTAATGACTGATGTGAGAGAACACAGTCCACTGTGGGTGGTTTCACCCCTAGGCTGGTGGCACTGGGTTATATTAAAAAAAAAAAACATGCTGAGCCTAGCCACACTGTTAATCCCAGCAAACCAGTAAGCAGCATTCCTACACGTCACGAGCCATTTCCCCCCTAAAAATCATTACAGGAACCATCACCCTGGGGAGTCTGCAGAGAACCTCACACCCATAATTATGTTCTATTGAGAACCTGCCCCACACCCAATTAACTTATCTGTTAGCAGAACGCACCTCACATTCCAGCTATCCAGGGAACCAGGTGTGGCAACTCATGACTTCTTGGCCTACCTGTCCGAAAATAACCTGGCCTACGTGACCTGGAACACGCGGCAAGAGTCCAGTTTCCCTACCCTTCAGGGGCTATATAAGCAGCAACCATGATCCTAATAAACGGAGGCTTTGACAAATCTGCTTGGCCTCCTTCTTCTGTCCTAGCTCATTCCCTTCCAGGTAGTGCCCCTCCGAGACCCTGGAATAACTGATTGCAGGGTGGGTTACAAACCCCTAGACTGAGTAACCCACCCAACGCAATCGACACCTGCATGATCTCTACATCAGTTCCTGCCTCTAGTTCTGCCCTGGATTCCCCCAGTTACAGCTTGTGACATGGATGATTTAACAAAGTAAACCTTTTCTTCCTCAAGTTTCTTTTGGTCTTGGTGTTTATCACAGTAATAGAAAGCAAACTAGGGGCTAGGAGGTGATGGTTCACTCCTTTAGTCCTGCACTCGGGAGGCAGAGGCAGGTGGATCTCTGTGAGTTTGAGGCCAGCCTGGTCTACAAACCAAGCTCAGGGATTAAGAGCACTTATTGTTCTTGCAGAGTACATGGTTTCTGTCAAAATTAATCTTTTTTTTTTTTTTTTTAGTTAGAATCTCACAATATAGCTCTGGCTGTCCTGGAACTCACTATGTGGAACAGGCTAGCCTTGAACTCAGAGATCTGCCTGCCTCTGCTACCTGAGTGCTGGGATTAACAGCGTGTGCCACCACTGCCACCTGGCTCCTACATTGTCTTTAATCACAACAGCAAGACAAGTCATCCACATATATCTGGTACAGAGTGCATCACTCAGGGACTTTCTACTTCATTTCACGACCCAGTTTCATCCGGCTTCACACACTGTTTCCAGCCAAATACAGCAGTTCCCTGGAGCCACCACAGACCTCTGCTTCAGTTTGTCTATATTACCCATCCAACACACACTCCTGAAATGTCTGCTATGTGCCGGGCTCTTCTAGGGTCTTGGATCCTTGAGTGAACCCGTCACTGTTTCTTCCTGACTGCTGTCGTCCTCCACAAGCTGCCCTCTTCGCTATACACTGAGTAAGGCTGGCCTTTGAAATCCTTCCTGCGCTCGCTGGACAAACACTAGCTGAGCACTTCCTGCCCGCAGAGTCCTGGCTCGGGCAGTAAGGACGCAATGGTCTCACTCATCACGTGGGCATGATCAAGCCAAGGGACCAAAAGAACCATGTGAAACGGAGAAGAGGTGATGCTTCCCACGGGCCTTCCCCTCACAGCACACGGACAAGATGGCTGTGCATCACTGGATGGGATTAGCCAGAATGCTAGTCTCCCTGAGTCCTGTCACCCCAAGCATGAATCACTGTTTAGGAAGATGCCCCAGAGACTTGCCTACAGCCTGATCTCACGGAGCTATTTTCTCCACTGAGGCTCCTTCATTGAATCCAGATCACCCTTCTGTCAAGCTGACACCCTTATAGCCAGCACACCTATATTTTTTTTTTTTTTTTTTTTTTTTTTTTGAGACAGGCTCTCTCTACGTTGTCCTGGCTGTCCTCAAACTCAGAAATCTGATTCTCCCACCAAGTGCTGGGATTAAAGCTGTGCACCACCACACCCAGCCCGTCTCCTGCCTATTTGTCTGTCTTTACTTGAGTGAGCTGTCGGGGCTGGAGTGGTGACTGAGCAGTTAAGGGTACATACTGCTGTTGCAGAGGTCCTGAGGCCAGCTCTCAGCAGGCAGCACGCGCTGTGAAAGTTTATTCACTCAGATTTTTGCTGCTCTCTATGCTGGATTCTGCACATTCGTTTGCATGACCCTTTTATAACTGTTTACAGTTCATACTGCCTGACTACCCGATGTACTAGTTAGAGAGTAATCGAAACGTTATGGACTATTGTCTCAAGAAACTCTAAGTGCTTTGCTTAGTAATTTTCCTTTCTTCCTTTGGGTGCAGCTCATTCACCCTGTGATGCTTTCAAGTGATGTTTTTCCTTGGGTTCGGTGAGGTGTCACATGACAAGGTGCCTGGGCACATTCTCAGTCCTCAAGTCCGATTTTGTTCTATTGTTCTTACCTCTGACCCTGTTTTGAACTTTCCTCAACTATCAGCCCTGCAGACCTGATTATGAACTTGGCTCTTCTGACGGCGGCTCTGGAATTCCCCCTCCTCTTTCCTCTTTCCAGCCCAATAAAAATAGAGAAGCAAGTACACTGCAAGGGTTCGCAAACCACAAACCGCTGCCAGAATCCACGATCTGTGGACCCTAGGTGAAGTCTCTCCTGACTGGAAAAGTGAGTATCCGGATCCTAAGAGCACTGATAAAAACCTAGGTTTAACCAACAGAGGAATTAAGAATGGGGATTTGGCTCAGATAGTGTGCTTGCCTCATAAGCATGAGTTCAATCCCCAGAACCTATGAAAAGAAAAAAAAGGAAAGATGGTACAGGCTTGTTATCCCAGAGGTGGGAGGCAGACAGGTAGATCCCGGGACTCACTGACAGACCAACCTGGCCTAACCATAGATCCCCAGGCCAGTGAAAAACCCGGTCTCAAAAAACAAGGTGGCTGGGCGATGGTGGTGCACACCTTTAATCCCAGCACTCGGGAGGCAGAGGCAGGCGGATCTCTGTGAGTTTGAGACCAGCCTGGTCTACAGAGCTAGTTCCAGGACAAAGCTACAGAGAAACCCTGTCTCGAAAAACCAAAAATAAATAAATAAAATAAAATAAAACAAGGTAGATTGCTGGGTGGTGGCAGTACAAATCTTTAATCCCAGCACTCAGGAAGCAGAGGCAGAAGGATCTCTGTGAGTTCAAGGCCAGTCTGGTCTACAGAGTGAGTTCTAGGACTAGCTCCAAAACAACAGAAAAATCCTGTCTTGAAAAACCAAAAGAAAAACCAAAAGCACAAAACAAGGTAGACAGAGGTTACCTAAGGAATGACATCCAACGTTGTCAGCTGGTCCACACACACAAGCGACACATGCACACATGCACCCCAAACACAGGAGGAAAGGCTTAGGATGTGGTTCAGTTGGTAGAGCGGTAGAGAGTTTACCTTCACTGCGTGCACGAAGCCCATTCACACCCACAGCTCCATAAATCAGGTGTGGTGGGCTCAGCCTCTAACCCTAGCCCTCAGGAGAGGAAGGAAGGAGACTCTGAAGTTCAAGGTCATACTCAGCTGCGCAGCAACCAGTTTTGTGCAGTCTGAGATTTTTGAAGAATTTAGGACCTGAACTATGACTGTAGAAATTATCGCTCTCTGGATACTAGGTCTAGCCCTATTAACCGCCTAGCAGAAATTTTTCTGCTTTGCTTCCACTGTTCCTCCCACTCCCCTCAGGGCTGTTCTCCTGCGGGTTAGGAAAGTTACCACCGAGCTACACGCCCAGTCAAGGGAAACTGCATTTTTCTTTTCTTTTTTTCCTTTTCTCTCTTTCTTTCTTTCTTTCTTTCTTTCTTTCTTTCTTTCTTTCTTTCTTTCTTTCTTTCTTTCTCTCTTTCCCTTTGTTTTTTTCAAGACAGGGTTTCTCTGTTACAGCTCTGTCTGTCCTATTCTGGGACTCACTTTATAGACCAGGCTGGCCACAGACTTAGAGACTTAGAGGGAAAGACTTCCTGCCTTTCCCTCACAAATTCTGGTATCACAACCAGAAACCACTACATACGATTTCTAAAGCACACAACTTTGGGTGTTTTGCAGTTGCCCCCAGAACAAAGTCCTGATTCTTAGACTCAATATGTAGTTCCCTGCAGGCCCAGCCCCCAGGTTATTACTGGGGGGGCATCTTCCATCCTGCAGTCCAAGTCCCAGCTTGTATTGCTGTCTGCACTAAACACACACCCCGGGGTGTGGAGTTGTGTGTGAAAGGAGGGGGCAGTTTCAGGTAGGTAATAAAAGAGGGTATTTGTAAGTGGTCCCCTCTGGAGGCAGGCGACGGTGTGTCTCCAAACATTTTTTCCTATCCAAGATCACACTGTTGTTGAGTCCTCTGGAGTTGTTCAAGTGCCCTTTGTGCCACGTGACTTAGACTCTAGTTTTTCTTCTGCTTTTTCCTAGGCCGGGTTGGTTCTCCAACCGCAGGGGCGGCGCCTGTCCCTCTCGGCCCAGCCCCTAGGCTTGGATTACTGAGGCCCGGCCCGGGCGGGGACCGCTCCTAAACAGCCTAGCGTGCCGGAAGCTGCGGTAAACGGGGGCCTAACGATCGCGGAGGTCGAGCTCAGCTTCCCGCGCGCTCACGTGACCCTTCGATTGTCACGCGGGCGCCGCTCACCTGACCGGGGTCTCACGTGGGCTCAGCCTGCATTGAGGGCGCTTGCCGGTGGGCCATGGCAGGCTGCAGGCTCTGGGTTTCGCTGCTGCTGGCGGCGGCGTTGGCTTGCTTGGCCACGGCGGTGTGGCCCTGGCCCCAGTACATCCAAACCTACCACCGGCGCTACCCCCTGTACCCCAACAACTTCCAGTTCCGGTACCATGCCGGTTCGGCCGCGCAGGCGGGCTGCGTCGTCCTCGACGAGGCCTTTCGACGCTACCGTAACCTGCTCTTCGGTTCCGGCTCTTGGCCCCGACCCAGGTTCTCAAGTGAGTCACAGCCTCTTCTTCTCTCCGAAGGAGCCGCCTTCTGTGGATCAACCCCGGCCCGGCTTCCTCCTCATGGCTTCTGCCCTGCCCAGCCAGTCACCTCCCAGGTCCCCTTTTCCCCTTGCTTTTTCTCTAGCCGGCTACTCAGCCTCCCAGGCTTAGCCGCTTCTCCATTCGCCCCTTCATTAATCAGACTTCTGGGGTCTCCATTTGCCCTGAATCTTTTCTCTTGGACTGTAGGTTTTCATTTTTGAAAATGCCTGCTGTAGGGAGGACCACAGTTCAATCAGGCTGTTAAAATATTGAAAGTATGATGCCAATAGACATTTAAGATGATTCTTTACGTCATGCTCCAGGGGTTACCGGTCCTTGTGAGGCAGTGACCAGGGCTGCACAGTGGAGCTCAGCATATGTCTGGCACAAAAGTTGCTTAGTAAATGTTTAAATTGTGAAAGAAATCATAGAACACACGGCCCTGAACTTACGAGGACCTCGACAGAGGCAGCTTGACTCTTGACAGGCTTGGGCCTGACACGGATGAGATGGTGGGTGTGGGGGAGTGGCAAGGGATGGAAGAGAAGCAGTGTTGGGTGCCTGTCGTCGGCCCTGGTACTGTAGATGCTAAGCAGATGCTAATTGTGCCCCTTTCCAGCCCATTTATTCTAGAATGAAGGTAAGAGAATTGGTTCTTCTGCAACCACTGTCGGTATTTGATTTGTTCATCCTCGGGTAGTAAACAAGTGTCTTAGTAAGTCGCGCGTCATTATGGTCTGAATCCTCTAAAGTGCCTCCTTGGGCCCTTCCTTCCCTAACTGTCTCTGTAAACATAGTGGGTTTAGCGCGTTTGTTGGTTCTGTTGTGTTAAAGGACTGTTTGGTGTAAGGTGTGTTCTTTACTTTCCTCATTGCTGTGACTAAGAACGATATTGTGGCTCACCGGCAGAGGAAGTAGTCCACCACGAGAGCGTGGGAGCCTGAGCTTCAGGTAGCTTGTCACAGTGCACAACAGCCAGGAGGCAAAGAGAAGAATTCGTCCCCCATTTTCCCTCTTTTCTTCTGCATCGAAGACCATGCCACCCACAATTGGGGTGGGTCTTTCCTTCTGAGTTAAAATTATCTCTGAAGGCACCCTCCCAGACACAGCCTTGCAGGACTTAGCATCCTGCAAGGCCTCCTCGTTCTTGTGTCTTTCTAAGATCACCAATAGGAAGATGGTCGTCAGGTTTCAGACTTGGAGTGGAGTCTGATTGCGAGAAAGCTGGAGGAGCACGGGATGCCAACTTGTAGTCTCCGCTCTTGTCACAGAATTGGAAATGCAAAATGTGTCATGGAGCCAGGTTGGGCAGGAGTAATGATTAGAGCTCTCCACTCTAGGGGCTGGGACTTGCGCACAGTTGGGAGATTAGGTAAGCCCTGGGTTCAGAAAGCCTCCTTGGGAGGTAGAGCCAGGAGGATCAAGAGTTCAAAGTCATCTTTGGCTCTCTAATGAATTTTAGGTCATCATGGGCGGACAGAGACCCTTTCTCAAAACAAGCAAACAAAGAAACTCTCCACTCGTAAGTGGCCTGATGGTTTGTTCTTGTAGAAGACTGGGCTGCCTTTCAGTGTACTGCTTTTAAAGAGGAAGACGTTTTACGATGCCGTTTATAATGGGGTATGTGGAGAATGGAGTGGTACCTAATGAAAAATAATGATGAAGCTATCTTTGGAGAGGAGGTAGGTACTAGGATCAACCGTATTTGGATGAGGTTCAGAAGTATACATTGATCTGTTATATTAAACTCTCGGACTTTGGGTTAGTTATGCCCATAGTCTTCCACAGGCTGGGTGACTTTCCCTTCTACCTAAATCATGATGCTTTCACAGTAATCTGCCTAATTCTGAGCCTGAGAAGCTCACCTTCCTAGGGTGTGTATGACTAGTTTGGGTCTGGCATATGAAATCTGAGATGCCTTCCTTCTACTTCCTTACTGTGTACTTCATTCCAGACAAAAGTAAAATAGGGAGGGCATTGGTGGGCTGACCAGCCGACCTGTTCGTTGTCTTGGGTGCTTGGTCTCGCACTTGGGCATGTTGTAGCTTTTTTTGATTGTTAAAAGTCAGAGGTTTTGATTCCCTCACCTTTAAGAAAATGTTTAAACTAAAAACCAGGCATTGTAGCCTCTGTCTCCTGAGTGCTGGTTTGTATAGCGTGGTCCAAGTCAGCCTGTATACTTAGGGAGATCCTGTCTCTAAGTGAATGGATAAATATAAACAAACAAGTGTTTAACCAGTCTGGTTAGGAGCTTTCTCCCACCACTGTTGGAGCAATTGACAATTGGAGCAGCTCAGGAGAATCAGTTGGGTATATAGACCTGAAAAGTGTTTGCATGTGTAAAAAAACTTTTGTGACCTGCTCCAAGGTGACAAAAATCTACTCTCCTAGAAACATTGAATTTTCTTCTCTGTTCCTAGCTGTAACAGATAGCACCCATGCTTAGGGAGGTGTTCTTTGGTTTTTGTTGTTGTTGTTAGGGTTTTTGTTTTGTTTTGACAGCTGTCTTAAGTTGTAAATAAGTTTCTCCAGCTAACTGTTGTATGCCCCTTGTTTCAGCTAGGGCATGGCTGAAGTTCGTTTTTGGACGTGGGTTCAAGTGCAGGAGGTAGGGTTGCTCAGCAGCTCAGAAGTCAGAAGCAACCTGATACTTCTATAAAACGTTAGGGGTGGAGATAGGGAGCCTGCTTACCAGACACAACGCTACCCTTCAAACCACCCTACTGTCCAATTTACAGTAATGGTACTAAGAGCACACATTTGTGGCTCTCTTCCTTATCTGAGACTGGAGGCCTAGATTGGGCAGTTTCAGAGTTCAAGTCCACGTCCCTTTATATGTTGAAGTTGCCAGACTGTTTGCAGTGTGTGCCATCACACAATAGTGGAAGAAGCCCTTGAAAGTAATTGTTACACTGTAAGGCACCCACTCACTCCCAGGGTTCTCTGGCTAAGTGCTGCACAGTGGGGTTTGCTGTGCAAACCTGACTTAGTGAAGGGCGGTGGAAAGCGGAAGGAAGTGAGCATGTATGTAGAGCTGGCACTAAAGATGCAATGTGTCTTGTCAGCCAGCTCTGTGGGGTGGTCCTGTGTTCAGAACTGAGATTGCAGGCAGTATGACTGCCAGTGGTGTACAGCTTGTGGCTGTGGCAGAGGATTTCCTCTAGGTCTGTCTGTCCGCCAAGATTTCCTCCCTGCAGGGCAGTCTTGCAGTGCTCATGAAGATCTTTGCCAGGGTGATTAGTCATTTGGAAAACTGTTAGCCTCTGGGAAAATTAAGCTCTGATCATAGCTTAGTGTTAGTGACTTCAAATAGTAACTTCTAACATCTAACTCCTTTTCATTATCATTCAGGTCATGAATGTTTTTTCTCTGCTCCATTTATCATTTTCCAGAAGTATTTCTAGCCACCTTCCTTCCATCTTTAGCAATTAGTGCTTATTAACCAACCATAATTAGTTAATAGTGCTACGTCTACAGACTATGTTAATCAAATAGCTCTCATCCCTAGGTAATTTTCAGTTATGAACTGGGGGTGTAGCTGAGGTGATAGAGCACTTGCTAAGCGATCACAAAGCCCTGGGTTTGATCCCTCCCCCACGGAAAGTGGGTGTGGTGGCACACGGAATCTCGGTGCTCAGAGTGGAGGAGCATCTCAAGTTCAGCTAGAGTAAATTTGAGGCCGACTATGGAAAGAAGAAATCACAGTCCCTTGAAAGTGGGACTATACACATACAAAAAATTATTTTTTTCTGCGATATTTGAAGCGCAAATGATTTTCAAATACAGAACATGTTACCCAAGTGTAAGAATGGTGGGCAAGTGTAGTTTGAAAGGCTTTTCTTCAGTGTTGTTTAATCAGATATGAAAGTAGGTGTTGGTGTAGGGAGGTAGTCCACCTTGGAGAACAGCTTGTGGAAAAGGCCTCCAAGTAAGAAGCCAGCAAGGTCAGTGTGGTTGACTGCTCAAATTTTAGGTAGGTCAGCAGGTTCTGAAGAGTCACGAAGCTACCTAGTGAGCACTAAAAGCAGGAGCATTAGAGGAAGGCCAGCCAGGGTTGTTACACAGGTGGCACTGGCCAAGCTGGCTGCATGGGGGCATCGGTGGCAGTAAGACTGGGAGGCAAGGAAGGCAGTTGTTGTGGTTGTTAGTGACAACAGTCACTGGACTAGGTTGATGGCTGCAGGGACAAGGCCTCTCCGGACTGCTCAGAGACTTGAGAGCTGTGCTTGGACGTCTAGTGTTAGGATGGGTGGGGTGCTGAAGATGACTGCCAGTTGAGAAAGAATGGAAGTGGGGCGGAGGGGGTGCATGGACAACCAAGCCTGATCGACTGTGAGTCTGATTTGGGATGTGTCCAATAAGAGGTATCTTAACAGACGGCCAGTTGTGTGGTAATAAAGCTTGGGAAATGAGTTTGGTTGTTCAGCAGGTGGCTGGAGGCTGGTTGAGGAGGAGTGTGTTACTGATATTACTGGAAAACTACTGAGCTGGAGTGTGGGTTAGTTCCTCCTCCTGAGTGTCCAGATCATCTGACAGCCACGAGACTCCAGGGCAGGAGGTGTAAATACCAAAGTGACTAGGAAACTGCAGAGTGCAGTGAGAGACTCCAGATTCCACAGCCTGATGGCCTGAACCACAGACCAGCAGGGAAGCCGGCTCTGGAAGTAGCACCGAGTCTCAACACCTCATACCAGAAGTAGTTGCAGGGGAATTGGCATTGTTCAGGGAAAACCAGGGCTACATTTAGGGCGGCAATGGAAAGAACTGATGGTATTGGGAGCTAAGTAGGGTATTTGAAGGGTATTCGAAGGTGGGTGATGTCCTGTGCTGGAGTTTTGTAGAGAAAAGGAAATAACCTTTATAGGAATGGGGGATGTAGGGTCAAATGAGCCAGAGGGGTTTATACATTTCTTTGACCATAAAATTTCCAGGATGATGACGATCAAGAAGAGTTCACGTGGAAAGCCAGGTGTGGTGGCTCAAGCCTTTAATCCCTGTACTCTGGAAGAAGAGGCCGGTGACTCTCTGAGTTCAAGGACAGCAGGGCTGCACAGAGAAACTGTTTGGAAAAACAAAACAACAACAACAAAAAGTTCACGTGGGGACTTAACACACGCTAGCTAAAGACTGTGTTTCCAGTCAACAGTGAAGAGCTAATCCATCAGTAAATAAGGATGATTAGATATCCCTTTGGAAAAAGTAAAATCTTTATCTCTTGCCAAACAAAGTAAATTCCTGGTAGATTAAGTATCTAAAGATCAAAATCTCTAAAATAAAAACAGCAGAGGGGATTTGCAATTCTAGGACTTTCTAAACAATGGGGAAAAACTTACCATATTTGACTATATGAAAAAAAAAAACAAAAGCAAAAACAAAAAACCGTGTGAGATTAAAGAACAAGAGGGACTTGTGGCTCACATCTGTACCCAGACTCGAGGTTGAGGTGAGAAGATGACCCAAGTCTGAAACCAGCCTGAGCTACCATGAGATACCATGTTTCAAAAACAGCAAAACCTAAAAACAGCATAGAAAGAAAAAGTGGACTAAATAGACCCAATATTTGCATCTTAAAAAGACAACATTAATTCCGTAGGAAGTACTCAGTGGTAGAGCACTTACTTGCCTAAAACATGCAAAGCTCTAGGCTTAATAGATAATAAATAATAAAATAATAAAGGAGGCAAGGTTAAGATCTAGAAAGAGCTCCATATATCAATAAAAAAAAAAAATTAGCCGGGCGGTGGTGGCGCACGCCTTTAATCCCAGCACTCGGGAGGCAGATCTCTAGGAGTTCGAGGTCAGCCTGGTCTACAAGAGTTAGTTCGAAGACAGGCTGCTCCAAAGCTACAGAGAAACCCTGTCTCAAAAAAAGAAAAAAAGAAAGAAAATTAACTAGCCAGGCATGGTGGAACACGACTGTTAATTCCAGACTTGGGAGGTAGAGGCAAGAAGATTGGGAGTTTAAAAACCAACCTCAGCACATAGCAAGTCCAAGGCTATGTATGAGAACTCCAATTCAAAAACAAACAAAAAATAAAGTAAAATTATTAAGTGGCATATAAATAATATGGCTAGTGATTGCAAACAATGCTTTAATTTAGTTGTTATTGACATGTGTAGGGTACTCGCAGAGTCCAGAAGAGGGCATCACATCGCATGGATCTGGAGTTACAGCTAGCTGTGAGTTACTCCATATGAGTGCTGGGAACCGAACTCAGATCCCCTGACGAGCAACAAGCTCATTCTTAACCACTGAGCCATTTTTCCAGCCCTTGTTTTCTTTTTTAAACTAGCAAGCAGAGGTAGAATTGAGATAGGCAAATATTGGAAAAATGTGGAGAATGGGCCCACATCTGTGCGTTTGGGTTATAAATTAATACAATATTTTGAAAGTATCATAACCAAAATTTTAATATCTTTGGTTTAGTATTTCTGTCCCTTAAAAAAAAATATGAGTTCAAGGCCAGCCTGGTCTACAAAGCAATTTCCAGGATAGCAAAGACTGTTACACAGAGAAACCCT